GGTCCCTGGCAGAAACTGGTTAGATCTAATAAATGTATATAAATTTCCACTCGACAATTTCCATCTACAATACGTACCCATCATTTGTACGCTAATGCCGACGTCATGGCGTGGACATGCATATTTCAAATCCCACAGTAAAGCATAGGTACCTAGACTGACAATATTGTAGCTTAAAATTCCTGTGAATTGCAATTTTAGCAAGTATATGCACAAACAGACGATGCTCAACGGAAAATGGTTTTTGTTAATGCCAACCCAGAAGAAAATACTAAGATGTCAATCTGTAGTTTTAAAAAACTATTAGACAGGGTTCGTACAGGTCAGGAAGAGTTAAATTCAAGGACTATTCAAGGGCATTCAAGGCCGTGTATCAGCAAATTCAAGGACTAAATACTGAAGTTTTAGAAATCAGCAAAATCTGACGTTGAATTGTTCAAAACGTAACTTTATAATGAGGTCAGATATAACATGCAAAATCAGTTCAACAAAATGTCCGTCTTGAATGTCAAACAATTTCAGAAAATATCCAAAAACTAAAGCAAGAAGAATTCAAGGACATTCAAGTACTTCTTTACAAATTCAAGGACATTCAAGGCCTTGAATTTTTGTTTTCAAATTCAAGGACATTCAAGGACTTTCAAGTTTTGTACGAACCCTGATTAGAGGCAAAATGAGATACAGTATAATTTGAGTAATAACATGCATGATGATAAGCGAACTGTGAACAACAATTACAATTCAAATACAGTAGTCAAGCAAGACTTTGCAATAGTGAAGCAAGTTGATGGGCGGGTGGCACACATGACTAACACAACTCGGCACCAGAGCTGGCAGAACTCCCCCCCCCCCACCAGATCATGCTAAATTCATCCCTGCTTCTGTGAATAATATGATAACATATGACACCAGTATTTAATGTGATATGCGAACAGAATTTGACTATGCGGCAATAATTTGTTTTTGGTCCATCACAACAAATAATCATTTGCATATAACCTATCAGATTTTAGAGTTTTACGAGAACAAATTTGCATAACTGAACATACACCCTTTTTGTCCTTAAGATGCAGGTCAACTGTTAGAGTAATATAAAGTTTGTTTAACAAACAATTACCTGGATTGACTTTGGCAAGGGTTTCAAGAAGAGACTGAACAGTTTGAGACAAATTTGAATCCATTTCAGCTTTTTTGAACCATTTTAAAGCTTTATTCACATCTTTCATCGTGCCTACACCTTCCATGTACATGAAAGCTATCTGGGAAAAGAAAGCATGTTTATTGTAAATCACCTCCAAAGTATCTACAAGTTACAGTTTTACAATATTTATTATTAACCCATTGAGTGCTATTAAAAGGGGCAAAACTAGCCCCTTTTAAGGAGGCTCCCTACAGTTTCCAATAGATATCAGTGTTTTAAACTAAAAGCTATTTGAATCTAAAAAACTAATTTTTTGCAGGGGGGTGCAACTGGTCAGGCACAATTTGAAAAAGTTGGGCAAATTTCTTTCTGCCCCCCTAATTTTTTCCTTCCCGTACACCTATGAGAGTATGTTTCGAGAAACTGAATTTCAGCCTTACCAAAGGCTAAAATGCAATCTTAAAGGCTGAAATTCAGTATCTCGAAAACTACACTGGCAATTTTCAAATAATTAAAAACTTCATAACAATGTATTTTCTGCAATAAAAAAGGTAAGTCACCAAGGTTATTTGTCCGCTAGGACGGCATTTTTGGTTGATATAGGCCATGTAGATGGTGATGTCATGGTAACATGAAGAGTAGCAATTGTGGATTAAAATCACTCTTTTATAAAAGAGGAAACAATGGGTTGTGCAAAAAATTAGTTTTTTAGATTCAAATAGCTTTTAGTTTAAAACACTGACATATATTGGAAACTGTAGGGAGCCTCCTTGATTGGGGGATGGGGAGGGGTCTGGCATAATTGCCCTGCCAAAACCAATGATGCCCTGCAGCACCAGTACAATACATCACTAGGCTATGTGTATAATTGAACTGCCAATGCCAATGTACATGCATACAAACTGCTTAACTCTACATTCTATCATTTCAATTGCCCTGCCAATCGAGATGATTCGTATTTTGGGGGGTGCCACGTGGCAACCCTGACTCTCCCTTTCACTTGTCATATATAATGTAGCCCAAAAAAAGAATGACTATTCACAAATT